ATCGTCGCATTCTAGCCCAAGAAGTTGATCACCTAGGAGCAGCTCCAAACTTTTAGGTAGTGCCCAGCAAATGCAGTTTCGATGACTTCGTCGATGGCAACGACAAAGAAGAAAGGTGACAGTTGACAACCTTGTCTCCCACCGATGGGTGGCGATAGCTTGCCATAAATCCTCACTCTGCCCGAACTACGCGCTCTGATAATGTCTAGTTATCTTTCAGACACAACTTTTCTGAACAGTCACAAAGCTTACATCAATCCCTCGAATCGAAGGCATCTTTGATATCGAAGAACGCGACTACAATAGGTCGCTAATAAGTATAGCTGTATTCCAACAACTGACGTAATGTAAAGTTGTGTTCCTCGCGCATCTGACTTCCACGAATGCCAGCAAGTCCCTGGAGGACGACGGATGCAAGTAACCTGGAGGCAGTTGAGTTCAGACTGATCCCTCTATGATTGTGGAACATGAGCCGCCTTTGAAAATCGGGACAATAACGGAGCGGTTCCAGTGTGTTGGGACAGTATCCTGCTTCCACAGCTTCAATAGTAAGTTGTGCAAATCGTCCAACAGAGCTGGTCCCCGAATTTGAAGAGGGTGAGAAGAAGCCTATCTGCTTCTGTGGCTCTATTCGATTTCAACAATCTGATCTCACGTTCGATTTCTGCGAGTGAGGGCGGATTTAGACGGATGGCCTAAGGAGAAGGGCGATCACAGGCCGATAAGGAAGCTATGGACTGTCAGCTCAAAGTGCCTTTCACAGTATTCGGCCCAACAAGCTGTGGATTACCTGTTCATTCTTGTCGCATATATTTTCGGTATCAAGAGGCTTCCTGGGCAGTTTGATACGAATGTAGAACACCTGGCTTCGCCAGCTGACTGGTGTCCATGCGGTCACAGCGTCGCTGTATGCGTCCAGCGAAGCGCACATGAGTGCGTGGTCAGAGTCCAAGCTCGTGCTCCAAATCGAGCGGCAGTTTTGTCACAGCGTCTTCAGATGTTACTGGTCGTGATGTGATCCATCTGCATTCTTGACTGGTCCGAGGATTGTGGGCGCCATGTCACCTGCCGACGGGTGGTGTGTCGAAAGTTAGTGCTCACGAGAAACAGACGAGCATCTTCATACAGGTCTACCAACCGCTCACCGTTATCATTACGAGAGCCTACACCGTGCTGTCCGCCCAGATGCAGCTCACCAGTGGATAGTATTCCAACTTGGGATTTTATGTCACCAGTGAGCACGACAGTGTCCGTGCTTTTTTGTGGCGAAGAAACGCATTCAGCTGGTAATAGAAGTCATCTTTCACAGAGTCACTGCTAATCGGCGGAGTGCAAGGCAGCAGTGACAAACAGTAACCGTTTGTCCCCGCGTGACTTAGAAGCTTTGAACGAGCCAATCAGTCTGATGACGCGAATCTGTTTGTTCATTGGGATCAAAACGGTCGGAGCAGCTTCAGCTCGGGGACTCAGAGCAATATCCACACCGGGGTGACCGGCATCCGAAGCTGCGTCATCCCCAGACAAGCGCATTGAGAAAATGCCGTTAGTGGGATGTCGCAGTGGGCACAGAGCTCGAATGTTTCCGACGGGGAATAAGAGGATGGGGAGAATTGAGCAATAGCATCCTCACCTCTATCTGCCCTGCTCGATGCCGCAGATATGGCGCCGCTGATTTTCATCTGCAACGGCCAGAGCACCAAGAAATTGCGTGAAATGGTTATTGTATTGCTTGTGCAAGACTGTCATATTGCCTAGCATAGACAGGACGATCAGAGTTCTGAACCAAGGCCTTTAGTTCTAAAACCTGACCGTGAAGCAGTGGGCTTTTGGCACTGGGTCCGTTTTATGGAATAAGATGCCCTCACTCCAACCTCCAATCTGGAGGACCAGGAGACTGAGTTTGCCTGGCTTCTAACCATTGACCGATCTGGCATGATTGGCACTTATGGTGCAAAAGCACCACCCAACATAACTCAATGGATCGTTGAGGGTCGCAAACCATCGTTCCACGTAAAAGTTCAGTCTCTTGATTTGGTACTCACAAACCTAAACCTCATGATCCGTAAGCCAACGGCAGAGTCGTCTAGGGCTGATTGATTAGGTCACCATACCTCACGATTGTGTGCTATCCGGAGTATCCACAGAAACGCACTGACTTTTCTCACACAATCACACATTAAGAGACACTGACAGAAATCGTAGGAGAAGCCACCTAGGAGTTTCTGGATGACGGTTCCTTTGATGATACCTGGATCAAGCTTGCTGAACTTCGGCTACTTCAAGCACCATACGGTCGGGACCTCATCTCCATAGCTCAGAAGTTACAGACGCCGAAATTACGATACAAAGTGTATCCCTTGTTCGACACGACCGCCCCAGCAAGAGAGAGAAGGTGCTTCTGTACTACTACAGTGAATTACAGTGCGAACCAATGTATGATCTGGAAACGCCTTTGATAGACCCACTCTGATGCCGTCTGCGGTTGAGACACAACGACGCCTATTTTGTGGCAGTTGCTTATCGTCTCTCATGTGTATTCCAGAAATGGACTCTCCTATGGCTTTCACTTTGAAAAAGATACTGCGATCTATATACAGCAGTGTTACTATCTGGAGGTTCTTGCACCCTACAGTAAGCAGTTCAAAACCGACCCGAAAAAGTGTATTGCAAGCATTCGGCTATCCAGGCATGTCAATTCGCCCGCCAGATTCAGAGTGGGAAACACACTATTGATTTAGAGCCCACAAACGATGAGCTCATGATCAATATGCCAACGACAGATTCATCTAGCGCTGGGTGGTCACACCATATTTTACAATTATGTGTGGGTTGCGGAGTACTTACAGGAACACACCGACTTGGTACGTTAAATCACTCATTACGACACACTAACAGGAACTATTTGGTAACATACAAAATCATAGCGTCGGAGCAATAAAGATTCCATCAACAGCGGTCATGCACTATCAACCTATTGACTGCACGGGGCAGTTGTACTGAAATAGCGGTTAACGGGGTCAGGATCGGTGTTACCTATCCGGATTTTTTCGAAGCGTTTAACCACCTTGATCACCGCATACTTCTACTATGGAATTGGGAACGTATCCTTGGATTTTTCAGTGATGTCCTCCCATAAGAGTATAGCCCCAGTTGCGGGTTCAAGATTCATGGTCCAATCCGAGTGAGGTGGATCGCGATGTCCTGCAAGGATCAGTGCTGGTGCCGCACATATTCCTTTCATTCAAGATCTCGCGCGTGTGAATGCCTCGCATTTCTTTCTCGTCACAGATGATATTAAGATAAGTCGAATGATTGGTAAGCATAAAGATCACGACTTGTTGCAACAAGACCTAAACGGGGATTCTGAATTGTCAAGAATGAACCTACTCCAGTTTAACGTAGATAGATGCAAAGCGATTCACGAGCGTCATCAGACCACATTTTACAGACGGTTTGATAAGAGATTTTTAGCCAAGAAATTTAAAAAAGTGCTTAATGCATCCAGAATGGGTGAACATTCAGCCGTAACACACACGCTTTCAGCGAAGCAGTATGATACAAATGCAAATCAAGAAATGTGGATTAAGAAATAAACGTATGAAAAAGTGAAGTACGATAATTAGTATAAGGCCAAAAGTGTGTGTTGAAAACTTCACAGAAAGGAATCAAAGAGCACGACCAAATTTGTGGGCCCCGCGGTTGGTCGAATCAATCTGAGAACTGGGAACTAACTGGTTGATCTCCTGCGGAAAGTGCTCAGGCGGTTTGACTAGTCTGTCTTCTAATATACGCTCAATGTGTACTTGAGGCCCCGTGTGAAATAGGCGATTCAGACCTACCAACCTTGGTAGAAAAGTGATTCCGCTGTATTCGAGACATCAGAAAGAAGAGTAACTAAGAAAGTGAAAGGCGTGAAAACGAAGAGATTTTATATTGGAAGATATCGTGTTTTACGAAGCGGCTAATTCTGACTTGTCAGATTAAAAGAAACTGCAGCCATGTTTACCGCCATCTTTCGGTAGTTCGCCACAACACTGAACTAAGGGGTCATCAGGTGAAGCTTGCCGTGGAATAGAGTCCGTTAAGATATTACCGGAATATCACCACCCAGACAGCCATGGAACGCTCTCCCGAATTATGTCATCTTTGCGCCAACACTTCACATTACATGACACCACTTGTATTGGGTGATACGACACCCGCATTCACCGCTATCCGTTTTCACCACCCCTTCTATGTGTATGCACAAACAATTTGTGAAGACCCTGGCCTGCTGTCGCACACACAATCGTGCGAAACAGATAGCATTTGTTTAGCCATACTGTAGTAACAGAAAAAGGCGAAAGTTGAAGGCAAAATAATCATTATTGTACTCCGGTATCGATGCAGTATCATCCATTGCCCATCGCAAATTTTACGGCACAATCGCGCTTATCCACATTCACGTCTGTTAGTCTAAACGGAAACAGTCTCTTTCGATCGACAACATATCGATTGCTGTCGGATCGCAAGGTCCTGAACCAGTGTGCTACATCCATAGGGTGATAACAAGCCGAGGCTATTCAATATCTCACGGGGTACGGTGACAAAATGTTAAAATGACATGTGACCAGCATAGAGGCGAAAAATGGTAAATGAATGAAATCATTGTCGAAGAAATTGGTAGGTAACTAAGCAAAAGTTCATGATGACATCTAACTGCTAGAAGCAGTGCAATAGTAAGGTACTCGAATGCAGATGGGAACGCCGAAGAGACTGCAAATTAGAAAGTTATGCCAGCAGTGTCAAAAATGTTTAGTAAAAAGTGCCAACGTTCATGGGATCGAAAATCCCTAAGAACTTGAGGTAATTCACGCAAACACCTAGAGTTTGTCCAAAGACGATTCTCATGACATCATGTGTCTGGCGCGAATAAGAAGTAATGGGGTTCTCCGTGTGACTAAAAGACAGAAAAAAGAAGGGCCTCAAGCACCTCGATAAAAACAGCAAAATGTTCTTACCTCACTCATACATAGAGAAGCCACCACGGCGCTTTGTCCGTGACTCCAACCAATGGACTTCAGTCCCGCAGCTTCCCTCACTGTGGAGTCTATCCCATCAGCTCCGACCTAAAGAAAAAAGTATAGCGAAGGAAGACTTACCGGTAAGTAAACAAGAGATGTGTATTCAATTCACCACAAGTAGACTCAGTGAGATGGCGGTCACTCGTCCGGAGAAGCACCAGACGGCCGTTTCACCCTTCAGAGAGTAATCAGCAGTGTACATTCCACCTATCTGTGAGACTTTAACCCTCAATCCTACTCTCACGAGTTGATGGAGCTAAAAACCACTGGGAAACGGCTCTCCAATGGCTCGCAGTAGAGGAGAGTCTCCCGAGCGACGACTTCCCAAATTCAGTACCATAACCAAGGAGGCTAACGAAACGGAGCTCAAGAACAGGATAGGGCGCAGATTAGAAAAGCAAAATAGCCTACCCAGTGCAGTGGAACCCTAGTGCAAAAAACCGCACTACTTAAGTAGAGAATTCGTGATGTGGCGTAGTAAAAGCTAAAGTGTGCTACATGAGTTGTCATAAACCACAGTTCACCGAGTAGGAACATGCTCATAGCACAAGTCAGATAATTCGCCCCGTCCGTCGCGAGGTGCCGTGAGAATACTGTGGCAGCATTGAACTTGCATGGGTAACATGCTACATAAGATGAATGAAAGTGATAGAGCAACAGACACTTCTCGTAACGCAAAGATTTGAAGTGTATCTATCAGGCTAAAGGAGAGAGAAACTCCGATACAGATTGCTGGTTGTTACCGTTTATACATAAGCAGATGGTAGTTCATAGGCAGCAGGGCAACAGAAATACAGGAAAGGTAGCGAGTATACTACGAAAAAGAATATAATAAAAACTGACCAGCAGAAAGGTCTCCACGACATTAGACTGAGTTTTCTTCGGGTCTTCTATGGTCAATCTGATAGGGGTCGTTGGCTGATCCTCCGGAGGCAACTGGATGTGCTTAACCAGGGTTCCATATTTCATCGTAAACATCTCAGAATTTTTCAAAGCGGCCATTCGCAGAGATTCTGTCACTAAGCCATTTTCCACAATGTAGGCAAGGGGACCATTTTCGAATGTTAAATATGCGTCCGAACGATCCTCCCATATCTGAAGCAGTAAATGGAGCAGTGCAAAGCCACTGTGTGACGAATTCGGGTGAAAGTGAGGGGAAGTAAGTGGAACTCTGCAAAAGCAACTACTTTTAACTCACAAGCAAAAATGCGTGCGTTCGAATAGCATGCTAATCCACTTCTTTGGTGTGAGTTGGGATCTCAAATGTCATTGTATATCGTGATTCAAACAGAGGGAATGGAATGCAAAAGAGTGAATATTTAAGGCATTTCTCTTTCGTTCACATTCACGATTGACAGGTGATCGATGCGTTAAACTTTATTTGAAATAATTTGATCACACGGAAACAGAAGTATTTCGGAACAGAAGATAAACCAAATCCGCATGGAGTGTGATACGCAATATCAATACCGGGCGCTCTTGAGGTTAAGGCGAACTATGGTCAATTGCGTCACACGCATCGTCTACGAGACAGATAAATGTGACCTGTTGCACTCCACATATATTTTATCGAGAATGTTTAGCTTAATATTGGAACGCAAGTCCACACTCAAAAGCAACGCCAAACCCCTCAATAACCGGATTCGGATCCCGCTTCAGCAACCTTCACCAGAAGAGTAGATATACACCTCTGGTAGGTAGCGCTCACTCCCTGATTTGCTTGTCCCTAAGGCTGCGAACAACTACATGATGCCCATACAGGAACCATTTGTGGCTTGTGCTGCAGCACCCACATACCCCATATCCAGTGCAAACTCGAAAGTAGAGGATTAGGAGGCATCTAAAAGTGGAAAACGATTGATTCAAAGCCGGCACACAGCCTATCAACATACACATCATTTAGTTAACATGAGTAAGAATGCATGCCAGACGTACACAACGCAGTGACTAAGTTGTAGCCCGTTCCACACTGAATGGAACTGATCTTTGAGCCAAGCGCTGTCACAAGTACTGTGCACCTCGTCTCTCCAGCAATGACCAGCTGTCTCATCGGGCCAGTATAATCGAGGTGGCGGTTTTCGATAGTTAGGCACCTTGCCAACATTCACATCAATTGCATCTAGGATCGAGGACGCTAATAAGGTGAGAAGGTAAACACCCAGGCAAAAGTACAGAACAACTGCAGTGGTGATGTAGCACATGCACCACAATTGCCTGGGTTAGTAAACGGAATCGAAGGCAGCATACTTACTAAGAGCTGCCACCAACCCACTTAGCTTACCCTTCGTCCCTTCGATATTTTCTACTCGTAGCCACGTTAATGACTGACCGGTTCGACTGAGGCACGCATGTGCTACAGTACCATGTGCATGACGTCCATCGGCTAGGTTGTACTAATATCTGTCGCATCTGTAACAGGAGTTTTTCTTCCGGTTGCAGAAGTCCTTTCTGGTTCACCTGGGCAACGGAAATCTTGATGTGTTCGCGTCATCGGCAGTGATTCACTACCGTTGCTTCAGGTATACCTAAAGTCAACAATAACTAGCGATAAACTCACCTTGCTCAGGTACTGATAACATGGCTTCGTTCTATCCGTGTTCCGCCTCACTGCATGCATATGGCTATATAAGAGGTTTTTCGGCATCCTCGTCGGATTCACATGGCGGACACGTCCCAGCCCGCTCAAGTGCCACTGCAGAAGTAGGCAGCCCGCTTCATAAAGGAAAGTTTGACGCGGCACTTGCGTGTCAGGCACTGTCATACTAAAACGTGCGCAGAATCCGACTCATGAAAGCGCCGCAAATAACTGATGTCCATCCTGCATAGCGTTCATGTTTCGTTGCCGCAAAGAAGAAGTGACAGCAACATCGACTTGCACACCCTCATCTTTGCCACATCGGTCACCTGGCAATTCATCAACACACGATATACCAGTTTGCGAAATGCAGCACTCGCCTCCGATACGCGGATGCGCAGCTAACTGGTAATCTGCAAGTCCATTGACATCGTGCTCCCGAGTTGGCCAAAACTTCGCGAACAACCTTGATTTGCAGGCAGCCTACGAATTATACTCCTGGTGATGCTTGGAAATGACAAACAGTTTTAATTGTATTGATGCTGAGTCCAAACTTGGTCGCCAAAGAGGCGAGATCCGTTTACATGCGCTGCAACTCATCCTCACTGAGTGCCAAAAACGGCAGTCGTCGGAAAACAACAGCCTGTGGATGTTTGTTTCACTCGCTTAGGTTCTCATCCCGAAACGATAAATGATCAGCAAACCATCATTCATGCGGTGCTCGAGAAAAACACTGTAATAACATGCACTGAAAGCACTAGACAACATAAAGGTCGGGAAAATAATAAACGGAGCAGAGGCCAAGACACCTACCAGTGACAACAAAATCACTCGATGTGTGTCCACACAACTGCACTCTCGCCCGCATGCCAATGTGCGGATATACAATTAGATTTACAAGCTTACTTTGGTAAGCAACCCCAGCCAGAGTATTTCGCGGCTCAGCGTAGCCATAACGACGTCAACAAACAGCAAGTACGAAAGCTGGATTCGCTCACGGCACTTCTATGATTGACGAACAGAGAATAACAGCTATCGGGCTGAGGCACGAACGGGATCCGCATTACTCTTTAGCAACGTTCGCTTCGGGGACCTAAACGATAGAAATCAGATAACTGTTGGAACATAGCATGCTTCCTTTGCCGTCCTACAGTGATAGCACACGGATATACTTCAACTAAGTTAACAAATGTTGTCCAAACCATCTACGTCCCATCCAGCGGTACTGCGCAGCTGACATTGTAGAACCACCACTACCAAACCCGTTGCCTTGCGGCCAGGTTTCTGAACCAAAGGCTTTGATTGAGAACCCCAATCGTTCTTCCGTCTAGACCTGGGCAGCCTGACAGTATCCTGCCCACACAATACTATGATTATTTCCTCAAACAATTTCCTGATGCTCTGGCCACCGCAGAGGATAATCAACGGTGCTCTATCTGCTGCATCGAGCAGGGTGGATAGCGGTTTGGATGAAACTGCCCAAGCCCACCCATCTTATTATTCCACTCTTATGCTTTTTCACCCGTCTAGTCCCGCTCCAACTTCACTTCTATCCCTACCGTTTTCAACCCCCCAGATCTATGGCCTCCACCATGCTTTTCTACCTTTTTACAGTCAATTTCACGCATAATGCTAATAGGTTAGCCTGTCAAAGTATCAAATAACGTGTCTTTCATTCAAGTTCACGCGGGCATCATTTCATTCTCTCCCTGAGGGGTTGCATGCACGCGCTATCAGTGACACTCATGGGACATTAGCCAATGGGACTCCCTGGATATAAGCACAAGGTTAGATGTATGCGTCTATGAGGGACAGTTATGCTCCCGAGTAGGTTGACAAATTGATGTTAACGGAAGGCAGACAGGGATGAGAGTGTCAGTGCTAGAGGTAACCAAAAGTGAGCCTGACTGCTGCTGATCAACCTAGGATGAGGTGTTTGAACGTTCTCCCTCTGCACCCTTTTAACAGATCTTTCATCGGAAAGAGTTATCATTGCTTCGTATTCTGACCCGGCCGATAGCCGGTGTCCCTGTGCCAAATTTCCAGCGCTTGTCCGAGCAGTCCGTGAGGTATCGCACGCACAGTATGTGATCGCTCCAAGGTGCACAGTACCAGTGGCAAATTAAGGCGCTGGGTTAGTATTGCCTCCGGTCGAAACACTATACCGCATGAAAATGATAATGATAATAATGGGCATGCTTCTCACCAAGTGAAAAGCTGTGACAATATTTGCACGGAACATACACGAACAGGTGATGTTTTGCTCTTGCAAGAACACTATCAAGTTATCATCCTATATTTGTCTGCATTTCTGGTAAGGTATTTGCCTCATATGTTTGACTTATGCGGTGGTAGGAGGCAAATTTGCAGTTTGAGTATGTAGTAAATCCTAAAGACTAATTACATTGCGTGAATTGGTAATATTACAACCATTAGACGTTATCTTGGTTTTCATTGAATGGATGTTCAAATGGTCTTCCCCATGGAAAACACGACATAACGGTGTCCAGGTAGAGGTAGCTTCCCAACCTACTGCGAAAGCATCGCACAATCTCACAGGACCTGATGGTGAATGCAACCGACTCCACAGGAAACCATATATGGTGAGACGAAAGTTAGACCGCAAACTTGTCTTACATCGTGGTATAATCAGGGTAAGGTCTTTGTTACCTAGGTCTCGTGTGTAATTGTGCTTCAATGTTAAGGTGAATCGATTGCGATGGGTATTGTCATGAATCAGAATATGCAGCAGTCTCCACTTATCTTTTAGTCCTCGTAGCCCAAGCGGATCGAGATTAGAGTTTCTGGCATCGCTCCTGAGAGATATGATAGGAATTTTTCCCAATACGTGGTTAGTTAATGACCGTCGAAGGCTTTCTATCGATGTTATGTCTGCTTTACTCATATTGCCTCATATAATGCTGCGATATTCCAGGATGGGACAATTAAGGATTTTAAATAGTTCAACTGTGGCTGTGATTGTATGCATGTTATAAGAGATGGTAGCGAAGGATTGTTTGGTTCGTGCTATCTGGTACTCAATCTGTTCTAAGGACATGAAGGTACAGGAATATCTGGGTCCGTGGTCACGGGTCGACCGTTGTACACAGATGCATTCGCTGCTACGTGTGATAGATATTTCGGGTGTCAAGCGAGCGCAACATATGATACTTGACTGTTGTGCTTATAATCTCATCATCCACTTGTCGCACCAAGTCTCAAGCGAATGAATGTATTGTTGAATGAGTGGTAGATACATTCGGAAGCTTAACTCTTTGGTACTTGTGGACGAATGTTATATCATCAACAAATAAATGCGGCACGTCATGGTTGTTAACCGAACTGCTATTATCGACACAAAGACGGGAAATTCTTATACCGAGCGCACATCCTTGGTTAACCTCGCTAGTAATTCGACGCCGGGAAGATCACTAGTCGCCTAAGGTGGCTATTATAGCGGGACCGTTCATGTGTGATGATGGCCAACCAATTAATGTGTTGCGGACTTCAAAGAAATCTATCTGATTCGGTAACCGTTTGTGAGGCACCCGATTGAAGGTTTTCTGCATGTGCAAGCATAGAAATAAAATGGCATATTTTGAGTCAATGGTGTCGGGTATGTAGTTCAGGTAATGCAGCTAACAGAATGTGCACGATTGTTAGTCAAGGGAACCACTTTAGGACCTGTCTATCAGCTCCTGTGAGATGAAGTTCCTCACACTTCTTTACCGATTTCACGAATAATCCGGTTATTATAGGTGTGTTATGGCTTGGCCTGTTATTGTCAATCTCCTGTTTGGCGCGGTCCTTGTGGCGAGGGCTGAAGAATGAAGGTTTCCATTGATCTGCAAGGTACTTGGATTCAAGTGAAACGGGAAAAATATATACAACAAGATCAGTGACATATCAGGCCCTCCAAGTTTCATGGCGGATTGGGGATGTCTTCAGCTTCCAGAATTGAGCACTGTTGACTAGAATGTGTTGCTTGGCGAATATTGCGGAGATCAACAGCACTTTAGGTGGAGCCTTAGTGTAATTATAGCGTTAGTGTCAAGGGTAATGTAAGTGGGAAAGCAAGAGCTAAATGCGCCTGGATGTCGTCCACTATTTCAGTGATCAATGGGAAGCGATTGTTGGTTCTTCGACGGCGAAGCTCGGACCAGCTCGTTTGCTCCACATGTCATTCGTAGGGTGGCTTGATCTTCATGTGTTCGTCCCATCAATTGTAAGTGCTTGATTTCAGAGATGAGTCAGTGCACCTGTGGAATTATTGTAAAATATTCTATTCTCTTTTAGCGCGCGATCGGTTTGCTGAATTTCTGACTCATCGAACATTCCGCTGCATCTTTTGTAACGTCACTGATTCGGTTTTCTTGTGCAACAACAAGGGTTATGGCTTGCTAAACTTAATGATAGAAGTGCTCCACGGCTGTGCATGCATTATTGAAGAGAGAGAAGGCATCTCAATCGCACGACCGAATTATTTGACGGAAAGGTTTCCAGTGAATACTACAGCTGGTCATTGGTTGGTGGCCATTTTAACGGAGGAGGTTAAGAGTATCATGTTGCCGTCGATACCAGGGATATTCTCTGAAACGTCTCTGCTGACTTACTTGGGAAAGGCAGTCAAGCCTGGTTTAGACGGTTGCAGCCTTCAACCTTTGGACCGTTCAGTTTGTCATTCTCTTCCGTGGTTGACTGCTTATGTTATCCTTTGAATGCAGTGAAACATTCCGTCAACAACGGGTGTCACCGAGTTATCCTACTATGCGATCCGGGCTAAGTTAGGAATCATAGTGTACTAGACGGACGCTGACCGAAGTAGTTCTGAACCGGGCACAATGATTTCACGAAACTGGCAGCTACAGATCCAGGACGGTGGTTCTGCTACAATTTCGGAGACTGCGCATACAACGTCAGCCGTGATTGCACAATCCTAAGTTCAACCACAGCCATGTGCAAAGAATTTATACGTTTGAGACAAGTAAGAGTTCCTTCACAAAAAGAGGTGCATGGTACATGATTCTTGGATAGATTAATTCTGGTATTCTTACTTAGTTTAAATATCATGGAATGTTGATTTCCCCTTTTAATACTACATCAATGAAGTTTCGGTTATCTGAGGTTCTGTTTTTGGATATTCTGTAGCGCTGCTTGCCATGCGTTTTTTCTCTGTCAAATCGTTCCGAGATCACGCTTGTTTCACTTTGCGCACCTTCGACATGACAAAATGCATCCTGTTTGTCATTCAGTGACTACCTCTCCTGTTGCCTATCTCATCGATCCGTTGAAAGCGGAGAGAGTGCCAGTCTCGACTAAGACTGTTAGTATTTCGAGCACGGTAGGCTGAACTACACAACGAACAACTGCTAGTGTCAAAAGAGCAAGAAAGAACAACATATCGACAGGATAATCTGAATTCAGCTATTCCGCGTATTTTTGTCAGCCGTTTACATATACTTAGCGGATTGGATAGATTGCATACAAAGATCATCAGGATGTAATATACACCACGCGTATTCATATAACCGCTACATGAATGACACCTTTGTTGTTGTACACACTTCCGAGCAAGCAGAACAACTAATGTTGACGCTAAGCAACTGTTACCCCGCTATCGAATTTACAGTTGAGAACGAATGTTACAACGCCTTCCAGTTTTAGATGTTCGCTCAAAAGAAACCTAAATGTTTGACGTTTAGTGTCCTGTGAATTACCAACGAGCTCCGGTTCGTACCATCTTTGCGATAGCTAAGCGACTATACTCAGGGGAAGCGATTACATGTGAGCTGCAACGCGTCTCCTCTACAGTACGCGAAAATAGACGTCCGGAGAAGTTCCTAGCAAAGCACTCAAACGGGAACGCGAAAACCGGGAACGAACGAGTGCCCGACGTCCCTAAGAAAAAGGTGTTCATAACGATGCCATTCAAAGGAGACTAAAATGGCAGGAGATTCAGATATCGCCTCCGTCAATCGATAACATAGGTAGTACGCTGCTGAGCATGTGGTTTGGCACCAAGTTAAGAAGTTGCTGTTTAAATCCACCCTGGACATGACAGACACTTGCGCTTCACTATAGGCGCTGCCTGCGTATTGTGCTGTTGCAAGTATTGTAAGCATGCGTTGTGGAGCCAATGTCATCGTCCAACAAGGCTTCAGGATCTCGCTGCTTTCTGATGACAACATGTATCGGCGTAGCTTGCACGTCGGCAGCAATGTATGTCACTGCGTGCAAAAATGGCTGCTTGCTTGGCTGCCTGTAATAGTTGTCCATGTCAGGGTTAGCGTGCGCGGATCCCGCTGTAAATTATTCACAACAAGCTGCAAGGACGTCGGTAAATGAGAGAACAGCGTTTGGCTGGTTTCCGTATTTACCTGAATTACCCGAGTGAACTTCGTGCGCCGCCACGATTTATTGGTGCTGCCGTGCTGCCTTCGGCGACGATGTGCAATTTAACAATACGGCAGTTTTTGCAGCAAAGTGATGTGTGTCGTTGTCGATTGATGTGATTGACGAAGCTTTGAGGCTAGCAGTCAAGTCACTGGATGTTTTAGAGGTTCCATCTGCATTCATAATCATTTAAATACTCCCGTTTTGTGAGCCGCTTGTGACTTGCAGACTGGTGTGGATCACCGACCTGAAGTACCTGTGTCCACTTCATACGCTGTTATTTGTATTCCATTAGGGAACAACTAGGTTCGGCTCCGCCAGACTTCCCTTTGAACAGGCGTTTGGTTGAGCACGACGCGCAATGCTTGGACGATAATACATTTTGCAATCTGTTACGACTTTTAAAAAGTCCGTCGCAGTCACAGCGTCCATGAACTGAAGGAGTACGCGACAACTGCGGTGCTAGCCATGTGAACGTAAGAAGACACTTTTATTCTTCTTCGCTTCCGCTCATCCGGAATGCAACGAAAATGAGCAGGCACGTGGGGTGTATGATCAGCAGGCTTATCGGAGCACAGTTTCGATGTCTTCGGTTTCACACTTCATGTAAACGGCTACAGGATATTATGAGACAAGGTGCTGTAACGCGCTCGTGCGGCTGACATTATGGAGTTGTGCCAGGAGAGACTGCAGCAAAAATTTTATTAATTATATATATATATATATATATATATCTGCATGAATGGAACCGCGGTCATTTAAAGTCCTTACATACGCGGCAGATGCTAAATATATGCACCCGTTATTTTTGCGATTTCCTCACATGACCAAATAAGCTCTGCGCCAAGTCAACCGCAATGTATCCTTGATACATCAATTCTCTCCTTTCACAAGGTATACCGGCAATGGCAGACAACACGCTACCCCTACCCGCAAGGTTATTAGCAATGGACTCGTTCCCAATGCTCCCACACATATTTACCGCTCAAATAATCCGCAATTACAACGACTCACACAACAGTGACGCGAACGCTGATTCCACCATTTGTGGTATGTTCTCATTACTTTTCATTGACGCCAGATGGATTATCAACAAACGGTATTTCCTAAGCATGCTTGCATATTTAAACGAGCCGCAAGCAATCCTTGTTACCGAAACGTGGTATCTTACTGATATATTAGACTGTAATCCAATTACCCTCCCCCTTTTAACACCTTTTCCGTAAAGATCGCTGTAAAAGAAAAGGTGGGGGATTCCTCATGCAACTCCATCACATATGTACAGCTGAACGGTTTGAACATTCACCGCTTGCAAATGCCCCTGATCCTCTCTGGTTCTCAGGAGCCTCGGTTTACTTGCATCTATCCGCAACCCGCCAAATTCATCAACCATGAATGTTGTCCGCACCACATCAGCTTTCGATTTTGCATCGGAATTAACGCACAAACAAAGCATAATTGTAGGTGATTTCAACATACCAAAAATACACTGGTCTTCCCAGACCTTCTTGTCTATACACAGCCTTCATTTATTCAGTCAGAGTTGGTTGGACACAGTGGGTTACTTTACCAACTAGGTTGACGAACACATTAGACGTGATGTTTACATTGGGTATGGCCAACGTACAGAGAGACGTTTCAGAGAACATCCCTGGTAGCGACGGCAACATGATACTCTTAACCTTTAAAGTTGCCACCAAACAAGTACCTCCTTCCTACTACACCAGCCGCAGTATTAACTGGAAACCCTTCCGTCAAATAATCCGGTCCTGCGATTGAGATGCCTTCTTTCTCTCCAACAATGCATGCACAGTCGTGGAGCACTTCTATCATTAGTTTCAGCAAGCCATAACCATCGTTGCTGCACAAGAAAAACGAATCAGTGACGTCTAAAAAGATGCAGCCGAACGTTCGATGAGTCAGAAATCCAGCAAACCGATCTCGCGCTAAAAAGGATAGGATATTTTACAATGATTCCACAGATGCACCGACTCATCTCTGAAATCAAGCACTTACAGTTGATGGGGAGAACACATGAAGATCAAGCAACCCTACGAATGACATGTGGAGCAAAAGAGCTGGTCCGACTTCTCCGTCGAAGAACCAACAAACGCTTCCCATTGATCACTGAAATAGTGGACGACATCCAGGCGCATTTAGCTCTTTCTTCTCCACTTACATGACCCTTGACACTAACGCTATAATTACACTAAGGCTCCACCTAAAGTGCTATTGCTCTCCGCAATATCCGCCAAGCAACACATTCTATTCAACCGTGCTCAATTCTGGAAGCTGATGGCATCCCCCCATCCGCCATGAAACTGGGAGGGCCTGATATGTCACTGCTCTTGTTGTATATATTTTTCCCGTTTCACTTGGATCCAAGTACTTTGCAGATCAATGGAAAACTTCATTCATCAGCCCTCGCCACAAGGACCGCGCAAAACAGGAGATTGACAATAACAGGCCAAGCCATAACACACCTATAATAACCGGATTATTCGTGAAATCGGTAAAGAAGTGTGAGGAACTTCAACTCACTGGAGCTGATAGACAGGTCCTAAAATGGTTTCCTTGACTAACAATCGTGCACATTCTGTTAGCTGCATTACCTGAACTACATACCGGACACCACTGACTCAAAATATGCCATATTAATTCTATGCTTGCACATGCAGAAAACCTTCAATCGGGTGCCTCACAAACGGTTACCGAATCAGATAGATTTCTTTGAAGTCCGCAACACATTAATTGGTTGGCCATCATCACACATGAACGGTCCCGCTATAATAGCCACCTTAGGCGACTAGTGATCTTCCCCGCGTCGAATTACTAGCGAGGTTAAACAAGGATGTGCGCTCGGTATAAAGATTTCCCGTCTTTGTGTCGATAATAGCAGTTCGGTTAACAAACATGACGTGCCGCATTTATTTGTTGATGATATAACATTCGTCCACAAGTACCGAAGAGTTAAGCTTCCGAATGTACTACCACTCATTCAACAATACATTCATTCGCTTGAGACTTGGTGCGACAAGTGGATGATGAGATTATAAGCACAACAGTCAAGTATCATATGTTGCGGTCGCTTGACACCCGAAATATCTATCACACGTAGCAGCGAATGCATCTGTGTACAACGGTCGACCCGTGACCACGGAACCAGATATTCCTGTACCTTCATGTCCTTAGAACAGATTGAGTACCAGATAGCACGAACCAAACAATCCTTCGCTAACATCTCTTATAACATGCATACAATCACAGCCACAGTTGAACTATTTAAAATCCTTAATTGTCCCATCCTGGAATATCGCAGCATTATATGAGGCAATATGAGTAAAGCAGACATAACATCGATAGAAAGCCTTCGACGGTCATTTACTAAACACGTATTGGGAAAAAATCCTATCATATCTCTCAGGAGCGATGCCAGCAACTCTAATCTCGATCCGCTTTGGCTACGAGGACTAAAAGATAAGTGGAGACTGCTGCATATTCTGATTCATGACAATACCCATCGCAATCGATTCACCTTAACATTGAAGCACAATTACACACGAGACCTAGGTAACAAAGACCTTACCCTGATTATACCACGATGTAAGACAAATTTGCGGTC